GGCCGGCGCTCCGAGCTGCAGTGTCCGCTGGCTGGCTGGCCACCGGCAGCGCTGTCCCGCTGCTGAGGGAGGTCCGTGGCCGCAGGCCCGGGAGGACGGTCGCCCTCAGGAGGCGTGCAGGCCCGAGCAAGTCGTGGCTGCTGCCTCGCCCCATCACAGTGAGGGCTCGGGGCCCGGCCGGCGGCAGGCACCGCCAGGCGTGTCCCGGGGCCCTCCGCACTGGCCTGGCCGCAGGCGCTCGTGTCTGGAAGGACCCGAGGTCACGCACGCAGGTGAGAAATTCACGCACAGACATGTCGGCTTCGATTGTTTTCAACATTTTGTTGTTTTGAAACGAAACTCAGCGCGTGGACCGTGGGGTGTCAAGTCGGCCGCGCCGCAGGCACGTGGCAGGGGGGTGGCAGCGCCCTGCACCGGAAGGTGCTCCCGGCGAGGGGCACGTGGCGGCTGTGGCTCTGGGGTGACCAGCTGCCTCCCGCCTGCCTGCCTGGGGGCAGCCGGAGCGGACGCTGGCACAGCGGGCGGCGGTGCCTCCGGCCCGTCTTCGTGTGTCTGTCCCCAATGCTGCCTGGCCGCCAGGTTGCCCGCGGGGGTCGGGGTGGTCGGCCCTCATCACCCTGGGCTCTGCCCCCACAGCTCGCATCCTCCCAGGCCGGCTGGCCCGGCCGCGCCCCGGAGTGGGGGGCTGAGGTGGACCCTGGGGCTGTCTCTGGCTCTCGCGGCCACAGGGAGTTCCATCTCGTGCGAAGGCGCAGCCCCCGCGGGGCTCCGCCTTGGTCTCCTGTGTGTGTGGGTCACGCCCCCGGGCCAGGAAGGGTGTGCTGGGCTGGCTGAGGGAGCTGGCCACGGCCCAGCTCGGTGGGGGAGGGGCCGTGCCCATGCCCGTCTTCAGCCAGACTCGTGGCTCTCAGCTGTGGCCAGCGCCTGGGGGTGCACCGTGCAGACAGCCCTGCTTCTTCCTGCGCTGCAGCAGGCCTTGCCCGAGGGCCCGAGTTTGTACGGGGACACCAGGTCCCCCTGGAGGTGTAGGCCAGGCGTGAACAAGCCTGGTCCTGTCTGGTCTGGAGACCAGCTGGGTCAGGGGCCAGGGCGCGGGGGCAGCTTGTGACGCCGTCACAGCTCAGGGAGCAGCGGGGCTGCAGCGTGCCAGGTGCTGGGACGCGGGGTGCCCAGAACAGGGGCTGTTCTAGGCCTGGGCGCGGGGTGCCCCGAGTAGGGGCTGTTCTAGGCCTGGTCGCGGGGTGCCCTGAGCAGGGCTGAGTTCCAGGAGGACTCATAGACAGCTACGAAACCTAAAAATAAGGACTTACAGCTCGTGACAAACACTACGACGGAAATAGATGGGGGTCTGCAGGGGGTGGGGGAGGGGAGAAGAGTCCGGGGATCTCGGTGAAGCTCAGACCTGCGGGGGTGTCGAAAGGTCCCTGGGCACACGGGTCGGTGAGTACCCCCAGCACGGGGTTTGAGGCAGGAGCCCGTGTCCCCTACAGACTGCCGAGTCGGGAGGGCTGGACGCAGCGGTGATGGGCCGCAGTTCGGGCACTGGAGTCGAAACGACGGGCGGGTGGACAGTAGCTTCAAATCAAGTGGGCTCCGGGCACACGGCCGCACCAGACGGGTGCTGGGACGTGGGCCTGGCCTGTGCCAGCAGCCCTCGCCCTGGCTGAGGAAGGCTGAGGTGACGGGGTCAGAGGGCGGCTGGCCTGCAGGGGCTTCGGGTCCGCAGGGTCCAGCGGTCGCCACTCGGCGGGGCCGCCTGCCCTGCTGCTGCGTCTGGACTTGGGAGACCCCCGTGGCCTCCGGGGCGGGACCCCCACTAGGTCTCCGCCCCTGCACTGTGCGTAGGCCGGCAGCAGAGTGGCGCCGCCCTGGGGTCTTTTGTTTCACTTCCCGGGATGAATCCGCTCTGAATTACGACGATAATGATTCATTACCCAGCCTCACGCTGGCGTGTGCCGGCTCCCACAGCCAGCAGAAGCAATTACCCAACTTATTAATTCTCTGCTGCTTCTCCTCCTAGAATGGCGATTCAAGTGGACAAGTTCAACTTTGAGAATGTGCCCGAGTCCCCCGGGGAGGAGGGACAGTTCGCAAACCCAAAGCAGCTGGAGGCGGCGCGGCAGGAGGCGCAGGGCCTGGAGACCAGCAGGCGGCTGGGGCTCCGCTGGACCATCATATCCT